TGATGTGTAATTGAAATCAATTTTATGCAATCGAATTCAGAGATTTCACCATCACCAAAAGTTTTCAAAAAACGTAACATAATTTTTACATTTTGGACTTTATTGCTTGTAAAGCACAATAAAATTTTTAAAAAACAGTCAAAAACTTATGGTGAAGTTCTAGGAGCCATGATTCAGGTCTGATTATAACGCAGGATTTTCCACTGGCATGAGAATGCATGAAATCATTCTCATTGCATGCGAGATTGGCCATTCGATAATCCTCGGGATTCTCCTTCCAGGCTAATTATGAATTGCAGGGAACAGTGATGTGCCCAGAATCATCAAGCAACTTATTAGATTCCACATTCGCCAATTTTACAATGTTGTCGCAAGAACGACGGATATCGGTGGATCGGGGGGGTAACGGTCGATGAGTGATTAATAAAGATGCGCGGGCACGTGTGTCACCGGATATGAGACTCAGCGTCTTCAGAATTTGAGCCTCTGTTAGTCTAACGTGAATTGAGACCTTCGATTCCAGGAGGAGAACGACATTTAGGCTATTTTATTGTGCGGTGAGAAAAAAAATTGCACAAAAATTACTAAACAAGTCAAGTAATCGTGGGGCGAACTTAATTTTCAGTACACGGAGAGAAATTTTTTAGAAAAATTCTAGTGCTAGCACGGGAAAAGAGGCGCAAAGTGACGGCTAGGAAAAAATTCCAGTTTTGACACTGGAAATTTTATTGGGGAAAACGTGAATTTTTCTCCGTACTTCTGTGAAAAATTTCACAGAAATCCTTAAAAATTTTACATTAATAGCACTGAAATTTTTTACAGCCGGTGGATTGACTTTTTCCAGTACTCGTACTAGAGTTTTTCTAGAAAATTTCTCTCCGTGTACTTTTTCACACTATATCGGGGAAAACAATCAGTCTAGAACTTATTGTGAAGTTCTACGAGGAATGATTCAGGTCTGATTATAACGAAGGATTTTCCACTGGCAGGAAAATGTGTGAAATCATTCTCATTGCACACTATTAGATTTTTTTTTAATTTCATGGAAGATATTACTAATAAATAATATAATAAATCATGATAGGAAAAAATGGTTATGAAATTTCTAGTTTTAAGTAGAATTCACGGAAATGTCACAACTTAATTGAATTGTCACAATTCAATTGTCACAGATTGTCACAACAAATTAAAAATCTGAATTTTTTAACACGTCATAAAAAACGATCGAAAGTTTTGAGATTAAGTTCTATTATTCATTTATGAGAAGGAAATGTTCAAAAAATAGATAATAATTACATATAAATTGAACAAACATTCTCTTTTACTTTAGTTGGATAATTCAAAAACTGGGAATTAATTATTTATTTCAACTAGTTGCAACATTTTCATTGAAATGTAAAAGTTTATTAATTTCCAACAAAGATATTATTCAGAGGAATGAAAAAATTTGAAATTGACAAATTCAAATAAATGATTTGATTCAAATCATTTACAGTTCCATTCAGATTTTCCATGAATTACTTTTCGTGACATTGAAAAAAATATTTATTCCCAACTTGTGATTGAAATATTAAATTTTGCACGAGTATAATTAAAACATATTTTTCATGCTACCCACTAATTTCAATTCTCAGATACCCATGCTTCCCAAATTTTCTCCTAATCCATAATAATTACCAACTTAATAACCATAACCGTCGTAATATCAAATTAGCCTCTAACGGAAAACAATCACTCTGAATTGATTTTTTGCCATGCACCGTGGCGTGATCCCAGACAATGTAACACCGGAAAAAAAATTAATTGACATCCAATTAAATGGAAAAAATAATTGGCAAAAAAATTGTGAGACGCGTGGCGAGAGACTCTAGCATGCAGACCGACAAACACACGGCACGCGCATGAATATGTAGGATGTCTGGGTGAAGAAAAGAAAAGAGAAACCGAAAAACAGCCAGAGGTAGAGTGATAGAGAGAGAGGGACGAAAAAAGGTGAGGAGTCCGGAGATGAAGGGAGGGAGGAAGAAAGTGGAGGCGGCTGTGTACATGAGGTGCATAGCAATCGCCGCCGCGTCATGCCAATAACATCGAGCCGATCGCCTAATGTCGAATCGATAAATTCAGACGCTGTGTGCCGGCTCGAGATAAAGTACTATTCTAGAGTTATTTCCCAGGTTATTTCTCCCTATTACAGGAGAATAATAATATGGATAGGAAAATAATTGGACACGGAGAAAAAAGTTGGAGAAAAATTGATGAACGAGTCAAGTTATCGCGGAGCGAACTCGATTTTCAGTACTTTTTCATCCCACACCATTAACCTTAGTCTGGTCACCAAACGCGTTCCTCCGACTTTAGTCACCTGCGCGGGGATTCCCCGCCGTATTATTTAGGCTTTAGCGTTGCCGAATTTACTCTGCACTGCCCGGGCGCGTTTAGCGAGTTTCCGGCAACGTCGCGTCATGTGTTATTTCATTTAACATGGGAAAAATAATTTATTTATTCGACATAATTTGTTTTCTTTAGGAATTTCGGGAAATATCTTGTTCTAAAAACGACTATAGTTTTTTAGACACTTCAATTGACAAAGTCAATTTTTTTGAATTTTTCCGGGTAGCAAGTCAATTGTAATTAAAGATAAACGATGCGCAGCGAGGTTTCCCCCATTGGGTGACCAATCCAGGGTTAAAAATTTTCGTCTGAATTTTCCAAGCCAAATTCCAGAAAATTTTATTGTGTTCAAGTTCCACTGAAATTTCAGGAAATCGTGTCATTGAAAAATCAAATATTCCATTCATTTTCTGTTCAAATGATCTGGAAATCAATGAAATAATTGATTTCTCGGTTCAATTATTCTATATGGAAATTCAGAAAAATCAGGTAAATTCAGGGAAAAATTGAAAATTTATGTCATTTTGTTTCTGAATATTCATGTTCCAATTAAAATTCAATCAAGTGAAATTTCCATCTCACTCCCACTCAAAACTCATGAATTTCCCTGAATTCTACTTGAAGCTTGAAATTTCTTAACAATTTTTTCCCTAAATCCGATTCAAAGTCACTCTCATGAGAGTTACTATAATATCTTGCATGGAATTTCCAAAAATTTCCAACAGTGTATATCGGGAAAAAAGTGCTAGACGAATAGTAATTTGTGCTGAAACAGGCAAATTTACCCTACATCCCATCAAAAATTAGCCCAACACCGCAAAAACGAATGTCTAATGTAATTAATGTCGTACCCTTGAGAAAATTATTGTGTAGCACCAGAAAAAATATGATGCTTCCAATAATTTTTCCGGTGCTAAACAATATTTTTTCTGGTGTAGTAGGACGATTTTTCTGGTGCTGCACAAGAATTTTTTTGATGCTACACAATAATTTTCCCAAGTGTGCAAATTGTGTCTCGTTGACGGTAGCAACATATGAATTTTTCTAAAAAAAATTTCTCAGTGTAGAATGTGATGAAAATTTCTAAAAACTGTCCGGGAAATTGCAGCCAAATTTTTTTGACAGCGTAATAAAGATCACAAAATATGAAACCTGCCCGAAAGATTTTATGAAAATTTGCACATCTCACATAGATTTAAGAATATTCACAAAAAAAATAATTTTGTCGTCGATTGAAATCATCCGCCTTTCGATTGTTAGCGATTGTTTTTCACTCGATAGTATCACCGCAATTTTCGTTTACGACTGTATAGATTCTACATTTTACACAGCCACTTACTTCCTATTACATCCGATAACCCGTGGAAAGCGTCTCCTTAAAAGCTACAGTCCATCTCCCGCAATCTGAAGTCTTCCTTTCTCCATATATAAACCAGAGATAGATTCAACATTTCCGCTTGTACGTCAGACAATTAATTTAATAATGCACGAACGAGGTGTGATAGTCGGTTCTACATTATACAAGGAACTTTCTTATTCCCATACGTGAAGAGAATTTCCTTGGATCAGTAGATTTTTCATTGTGATGGTGACTTGAACACGCAACTGTACTTATGTTTTTTTCATTTAGAAAAATCGGTTGAGATTATTTCGCCGGTGAAAAGCTCTCTTTAATATTTTCAATGAAGTGGATTTTCCATCATTATTCATACCAACTTCTTCCTCATTCCCCTCGGCTTATTATATCTCCTGGTCTTCACTAAAAAGAAATGAGGAGTTTCCAGTAACAGACTGCATTTCAGTGAAATTTCTCTGATTATTTTTTCCAATCGGATTTCAACCAATTAGAGCACAGTACAGTAGAGGCTTCGTATAAGATACTTCTCTATAAGATACCTCGCGCTCCGAACGCTCGCGGCCTACCTCCACTCTCGGCACTTTTATCGCCTCCCGAATGTTTAATTTCCATGGGCTTCTTATAAGATACCTATGGTCCCGGTCATTTTTCAACGGGAAGAGAGTACTTATAAGCATCAAACGGTGTTAAGGGTCAAACAGGAGGGACGAACGAAGTGATCATGAGTGTCTAATGACCTTAAGGGTGCCAAGTGAATTTGGCGATGGCCTTGAAAATTGACATTCACCAACAAAGTTATAATTTTTTAAATTAATAGTATTAGACAGATGGTGAACATCGGTGACAATTTTAAAATTTTAGAACTTATGGATATCGAGAAATTAAATAAACAAAATCACTGATAAAAAAATTAAATTGAACGTTTCAACCCCCTAGGAACTCAAGAATAATTTGAAAAAATTTAAAGATATGGGGAATGATGTGTTCAATGTGATGGCGACAAAAAACAATGGGGTGCCGGGGTGAATAAGAGAGATTCCACTCGGCTACTGTCCCTAAGGTATCTTATACGAAGCCTCTAGTGTACTTAGATATCCTTAAGAACCCAGGGTTGTTAATTTGAGTACCTAACGCTTCTTGATTCCAGCACTATGGTTCTGGATTGCGGTAGCATGGAAAAAAAACTTCGCTTTTTTCTCTCTGAAAAATGAATCCATCGAATTTTGACTGAATTTATGTGCTATCAACTTACCGAGCATCTTGCTGAGATCGGCATTGTGGAGATCAGGATTTTCATCGGCCAATTTCTTTCGCTCGACCTTTGCCCACACCATGAAGGCATTCATGGGCCGCCTGATCCGTTGTTCCTTGAGGCTTCGCTGTGCCGAGTTGCCGGGATGACACATCTTTACGCCACCAGGAATCGATGAGAGACTCTGCTGATAGTCCAGTGACGGGCCTGATGCTAACCAGGACATGTCTTCTAGTCTCTGCTGTGCAGGACTGTTCAACATACCTGGTATCTGACGATAGGAAATATCTTTTATCAAGAATTCTGGGGATATCTAGTTCTTTCAGTATTCGATAATAGTTACTCAGTGTAGTTACTCAGTACTATGTTTACACGATTTAATTTCACATCTTCTTGTTGAAAACTTTTAAACGAAATCAATGGAGTGAGTGAAGCAGTGGTACACTCTTCGAAATTAGTTTAATTTCCAGTAACGTTTGCAATTAAATTCTCAATGTTGTGGAATTTAATTCAAATTAAGATTACATCATTCATGAAAGGTCCCATTCATCTTGAAAATGCAACGAAATTCAGTTTTTCAGGGTGAGCTATCATTGATATTTCAAGGACAGCTTGAATTTTAGACCTCATTATGAAAATTGAATATTAAATTCAATTGAATTGTCAATAAATTGAGAACTCCGTAAAATAATGGCCTGAATTTTTATTATTTTCAATCATCTTCGTTGTGATGTGAAGCGGGAAATTAGAAATTCATTGAATATCTAAAGAAGCTATGTGATTTTTCAGGAACAAAATGGGGATAAATTTCGTGTAAATTTAGTTTAGCAAAATATTTCAGTTTTTTAAATTTGAAATTTCATGAACCATTGACTTATTATTTTCAGGTAAGTCAGATGTACATGAAATATACACAAACTCATTGCGTTGAACACAAGTCATTATCACATCATTGTCTATTTCTGCATTTCTGCAATGTTTGAGAATACAAGGGAATCGTTCATTAGATTGTTATGTATTCATTCATTTTTTTGTTTCTCGTTGTAAATTTGTATAATTGTAAGGTGATTTGAATGAATTCAATCTTCTTTTCCTCTAATTATAACAAAAACAAACGAAAATGATTTTTGACGAATCGAGAAATTAGACGAACTATGTGTTCGATGAATAGAACCACTAGCTGAATCAGATTTATTTGAAAATAATTTTTAGTGACATTATCATTAATTTTCACAGCCATTGTCACTATTTTTCAGTTGCAATACCCCGAAGCCCCGATAGCTTCGTTATGTAGTAACGAGAGGAATGATTTTTCTGCAAAACTCATCCCGATCGCTGATGCGCAGGAAAACTTGAGGGAAATATCCGATGCATTTGGAAGGTCGAGGGGTATTCGAAGAAGAATTTCCTTCCTCCTGGATTCAACCAATCAATGTACAGTGGTCGAGGTCACAGAAGTAAAAAAAAATGGTTAATCTTGTCATTAATTTTTCATAAAGAATTCTGGCCAAATCGACTCATTTTGAATGACTTTATCTTGAACGAAATGAACACAACTTCACACAAGCTTTTTTTCTAAATTGAAATGTACTGCGCTTTAATCGGGCGAACCAAGGAGGAAGGAAATGAAAACAAAATTGTTCTATGAATAATAAACGAATCTCAAACTCACCGGAATAATTTGAGCATCCAGAGGTAGTCCACTTTCATTTCCATCGATATTCGAATCAATATCGAATCCCCGTGAGGTTGGCGTCCCGTACAGGGAGGAATGAAGAGCCAGAAGACCCGGAGAACTCCCATAACTGACCGGCGTTGTCACCTCAGACCTGTCATAATTGTCCAACATCCTGCAAACAATAAAACGAATTCCCAATCAAATAAAATGACTAAACAAATCAGAATCCCATCCACCAAACTGACAGTTATGTGGATCCCCTCCCATTGCGGCATTAAGGGCAACGAAGAGGTTGACAAGTTGGCTGGGAATGCGACAGAGGACTCATCAGATCAATTCAGAGTTCCTTATACGGATTTCCGGAAAAGCTTTGAAACCGATGAGCGTAATCACCCAACAAATAAAATACTAGCACATTCGAAAACTGACAAGAAAAAAAAGGAGTACAATATTTTGAACTCTACTTCGGAGTCGACAAAACCCTGGTACAAAATCTCTACTATGGAGTCGACAAAACCCTGGTACGAAAACTGCAAACTTCCGAGAGAGGCTATCGTTACTGTTAACCGCGTTAGAGCTAGCCATTGCCACCTTGCCGCCTCCTTGAAAAGGATTGATATAGTGGTTACAGTACTTTTTATCACGGACAAAAATATCACGACAAAAAAATCACGTCAAAAATATCACTGATAAGAATATCACAGCTGAAACATCACAAACAACAATATCACAAACGAATGGAACTCAGAAGAATGAAGGTCAGAAAGGAAGAAAGGCAGCCAAGAGTAAACAATAACAACCCAACAATCAATATCTCGCTCACCAACTTGAGTTTTCATGGAAATAATAGGTATTTCCTGAGTTATCTGATTGATACGTGAGGGGAAAGACCCGTTGGAATTAGAATTCAATTTTTATACAACGAGGAGGCTTAAAGGATTATTTATGATCATTTGGACTGTGATATTTTTGTTTGTGATCATTTGGCTGTGATCTTTTTGTTCGTGATATTTTTGATTGTGATATTTTTTCCGTGATTATTTTGATTGTGATAAAAAGGCCGTGATCGATTGGCCGGTCACCGATATAGTCGATGACGCAAGTTGCTCATGTGGAGCAGAAAACCAAGACTTCGAGCACGTATTATGGCAATGCCCAAAATTTGAACGCGAGAGAATCAAATTGTTAGGCAGACTGAAAAAATCTAGTCGCTCTCCTCCCTACACTACAAAAAAGTTCTTAGATGGAGATAACCACAAATATATCGAAGAAATCTGTAAATACCTAAAAGAATGTAAATTGCAAGTATAAATAAGTTGTGTAAATAGATATCCGGTGTAACGGCGGTGTAAATAACTCGGCATAAGAGTTCCATCACTATAAATGATAAATAAAAAAAAAACAAATCAGAAATTACTTTAAATATTAATCTCAACAGAGATGAGAGGAATATTTAATACTAAATATTGTATTCTCCTCAACAAAAATGTTCTACAAAGTATTGCACAATTTATTTCACAATTTATTTCAATACTTCCTACAAATGATTTCAGTCCGACGCTTCAAAGAAAGAGAAAACCACAGCAGCAACGAACGAAACGAGAATACAGCATCTTCCCAGAGAGAGACATCGTCCTCGGGTTTCAGCGGAAGAAAGACGATTGATCTATCAACCCGATTGACAAAAGTAAAAAGAATTGATCGACATGAATGAACCATTCAAGGCCACCGCAGCTGAATTCTCACGGATGTCCTTAAACCCATTATATGGAAAAATCAGTGAATACGTATCAACATCTGTCATCGCCCGGTTACTTTTGAATTTCCAATTTATCTAGATCATTAGCATGATCAGATTACTAATGCAACATCCAGACGAGTTGAATGCAACACAATCGAAACAATTATGGTTCGGAATGGGATAATTTTTTAGACGGCCGAGAGAACAAATTTAGTAACATTTAGGATTGTTAATATGTCGTTATTTGGATTAATTAAATTATTCATTTCATACAGTTAAAATATTTGTATCATTAAAATTAACACAGAAGTTTATTAATTTATAACAAAAATAATGCTGAAATGGCGAGAAAAATCATAAATAAAACTTTTACTTGAATTAAATGACATTTCTCTGGATGTCGATCTGTCTCACATTTGAACATAATAAAATTCGGCGCTCATTCGCTTATTTAGATCATTCGCATGATTAGATTATTAATCTAACATCCAGACCAGTTGAATGCAACAGAAAACAATTTCGGCCGAAGTGACAGTCTTTTTATTATCTATAGAGAGGAATCATTTTTTTAAATCAAATAATCTTCATTTTAATTTCCGTTCTTATTCACATTAATTCAATATTTTTTTCAATATAAAAAAGTGTTTTATTGTTCTAAATGAAGAGTTTATTAGTTCGGAATGGAACAGTTTTTTAGACGGCCAAGAGACCAAATTTATTCATTTTTTTGAAATTTCATGGAAGATATTATAGTGAATCTCATGAGAGTGACATTGAATCGGATATAGGGAAAAAATATTTATGAAATTTCAAGTTTTAAGTTGAATTCAGGGAAATTCATGAGTTGTCCGTGGTAATCAGATGAAAATTTCACAGCTTGATTGAATTGTCAATAGAACATGAATATTCAAAAACAAAATGACATGAATTTTCAATTTTTCTCTGAATTTTCACAAAATAATGGAACTGAAAAATCAAGTACTTTATTGATTGCCAGATCATTTGAACAGAAAATCAATGAAATATTTCATTTTTCAATGACAAGATTTCCTGAAATTTCAGTGAAACTTAATCACGATAAAAATTTCCGAAATTTAGCACAGAAAATTCAGACGAAAATTTTTAACAGTGAATTAAAACATTGTCATCATTGAAATTAATACCGAAGTTTACTAATTACCAACCAAAATATTGTTGACATGAATAGACAAATCTCAAATAAATACTTTTATTTGAATTAAATGCGTTATTTCTTTGGAGGTCGATCTGTCTCACATCTGAGCACAATAAAATTCGCACAGTGATGTGGTCTATATAAAAGCCATTGTGTTGGCAAGAGGGACAGACTGAGGTGGATGCTGATGGGAACAAAAACGTTCTGGTATTTTCATTCAATAAAATCCAGTGCTCACTCGGCCAGGCTAAAAACAATCTTCTCTCCTTCACCTCTTTAACTTCTGTTCTCATGTGTTCTTATACTTCCTTCTTGTTTCACTTCTGGTGTTTTCATTGAGGCATCGCGGTGGTCGTGATTCGACGCGTGGCACGTCTGAGATAGTCTGGACGAGATTGTGGATTAGGATGACAAAAGGACGGACTGAGAGGTCTCTGTTGACTCGGCTGATACACAACTGATCTCTCGATTGAAATAAAACGATTTCGCTTTCGTTGTTCGGGTAGCTTTCGTACTGTGTTGTATTGCGATGAGGGACAGAACGACCTAATATTAGAAGATTAATTTCTTGAACCAAATCGGTTCCTTGGAGACCAGAAATGTCAGGCCATGTACGATTCCGGTGACACGCATGAAAAAGTTTAATAGAAAACCTAGCGAATTCGCTAGAAAATTCTATTGGAATTCTATAGGAATGCTATGGGATTTCTATAGGATTTCTATTGGAATTCTATTGAAAAATTCCATTTCTTTTTGCGCCGATTTTATTGGATATTTAATAAGAAGCAGTTAATAGTTTTCGAATTTCTGTTTAAATTTTTCTGTTAGATTTTTTTTATTAGAATTATTGGGCACAATTTTTCGAAGTTTTTTCCACTGGATTTTGTTTTATTTTGCAGTGCACAATCTGAGTAGAAAAAACTTAGAGAACTGATGCCCAAACATTCTTATAGAAAAAATCTCAAGAGTTGACAATCAGACGAGAGGGTTTTCTGTGTTCACACAGAAATTTGAAATCTATTGATTTTTTTTCTCGAATATCCAATAGAATCAGCGCAAAAAACAAATAGAATATTCCAATAGAATTCCAATAGAAATCCTATAGAAACCACATCAAATTCCTATAGAATTCCAACAGAAGTTTTGATTTTGGAGGCATAATAAGTCGGGAAGTTTCTGTAAGATTTTACTTATTCGGGAAAAATTACGTGACAATTTCGTACTTCGTTCGGTGATGAATCTGAAAATTCACTGAACATTTTAGATTTCTTCTCTTCCATTCCTATAAAAATTCCCGGAGAACGATTCCCCATTGCGGATTACGTGAATTATTCCGTAATTTTTACTGAATATGTCTCTCCGTGCGTTCGAGTCCACATAGACACGGCGGGGAATCCCTGCGGACGTGACTAACTCTCAACTTCACCCATGGTTATCAAAATAAGATTCATACAGACTGCCCCACTCAGCCAAGTCATTACTGCACCTCTCTCCCTCAAGCCGATTAATTTGTCAGCAAAATTGCGACAGGTATTGAAATTCATAAAATCAATTTGAAGAAATTCTTAAGCAAATGAGCCCTGAATTTATGCACATGCGGCTGAGCTCCATTGAATAATATATACATATTTTTTTAAGTCATCAATTTCATTGTTTGGAATGATTCATTGAAACGTGCTCGGAAGCAATAAAAGACTTTCTAAAGTATTTTAAAATCATTTTTCACGAATAAAACAAGTCAATAATATTGACAGCTCAACTACCACCACAAATTAACGTCTGATTGTCAATTGCACAGAGGCCACGGGGGTGTCTCCCTGGCAGAATGAATTATCCTGTCACCATCAAAGTCCGAATAAATTCTTATAAATTTTTCTGCAACTCCTTCACGCGCTAACTCTGTCTATCCAGCCGCACATTAAATCTCACCGAGTATACGCAGAGGCGTATGGATTACATTGTTAATAATATGTATACAAATAAGTGTTGCATGGTACACACCCTTTGCATACACTCTCGGCGGTGGAATATACCTAGTGCTGGGTATTGAGACCCGTCTGCAGGAACTGTAATTTTATAGGCCCCTGATTAAACTTTTAAATCGAATGACCAACGCGGTTCAGTTGGTAAGCGGAAGTGACGACCCCGGCCGCTCACCTCTGCACTACTAACGCTCCAACGCCGACAACCGGGGGATATGATGGGTTTCACGAGGCACTTTTATGTGAGACTTTAGTTTTTTTTTTCTACCTTTTTT